CCCAGTACTTGCCAGGCCTAAGTCTTTTTATATCAAGTGCCAATTACAGCATGGTGAAATTGGGAGTTAGCCATTTTCTCTTTCTGAGCCAGAAAATTAAAATAGTGCATAGGTGTCCCACTGGTTTTACTCTGTGCTTAGAGCATGGTCTGTGGACCGAAGAGTGGGGGTTTCAATTCCCTTCAAGGGCACTTACCTATTGCTGGCTCTATCCCTGCCCCAGTTGGGACACCTGCGAGAGGCAACCAATCCATGTGTCTCTCTTACATGGATGTTTCTCTCTCTCTGTCTCTCCCCCTCCCTTCCACTCTCTCTAAAAATCAATGGAAAAAATATCCCCAGGTGAGAATTTAAAAAACAAAAAATAATGCATAGGTAATTATTGACTTCCTCTGAAGTTCTTTTTGGGTTTTGGGCCCTCATTGCAATAGACTGAACGCAGATTTGCAGATAACCCATCTATGGGGAATCTACATGTATGAATAGCATGAAAAGACACATGTTCATATATATTATTCTTGTTCTGTTAGCATGCCCGGTTGTGCTCTTCAGCTTCAAGAGGGCCTTCCCACCCCTGCTCAAGGATCCTTTCAAAACCCTCTTTTTCACTTCCAGCCATCTTTCCCATATAGACATTTCCAAATATTCTCATTTCTTTAAGCCCCAAGATCTTCCACATAGTGTCTGGCACACAGGAGGCAAACAATGCCCATTCCCCTCTTTCTCTCAATCACAGCAGAGTTCCACTGGCCTTAATGTGAGACCTTAGAGATACCATATTCAATTAGCTGCTAATTTCTTTTCATTTTATTCTACAGCTAGAGGCCTGGTGCACGACTTTGTGCATGGGTGGGGTCCAGCCAGCCTGCCCCGATGGGGGCCCATCAGGCCAGGCTGGCAGAGGGTAGGGGCCACAGGTGGTTGGCCAGCCAGCCATGCCTGGGATCAGGGTGTTGGGGGCTGATCAGGAGCCGGGCAGCCCAGGGTGGGCAGCTGATAGGGGCCCAAATCAGGCTGGTTGGCTGCCGCAGTGCATGTCATAGCCACGGTTCATTCCGGTTGTTTTGGTCGTTCTGCCTTTCCGGTCGCTGTGTGTGTGTGTGTGTGTGTGTGTGTGTGTATCTTGCCTCTGACTTCTCCTTTTCATTCTCACCACCATTTCCTAATTTAAAGAACTCAAATCAGTCTGCACATAATAACAATAGCCATAACAACAGAAGCAGCCAGTGGAGTTATATGTTTCTTCTGGAACACAATGTCTGGAGGTGAACAGTCCAAAGCTGGCATGGTGGTTCTACAACCGAGACCTGACTTTTTCTCTCTTCTTTGACATCCTGAGCAAGTAGCTTTTGTCCATATGCTCTTTCATTCTGTGGACACAAAGTGAACATTCCATTTCCAGCACTGCATCTGTATTCCAGTTAGGAGGAAGAGGAAGACAAAGGGGAAAAGATCAAACAGCCAGTCTCATCATGTCTTTCCTGTTTTTAAAGGGCTTATCTAGAAGCCCCACCTAGCAACTTCTGCTTGCAGCTCATTGTCTGGGCTGTGTCACATGACCACTCCTAATTGCTGCTCAAACAAAAGAAGAGCTCTATTAGGAAGAAGGAGAGGATGAATATGGGACAGGTAACCCCCAACGTCTGCCATACTCCCATCATTGCTTACCTATGCTTCCACAATGTCTCCTAACTCACCTTCCCACCTCCATTCTCTACCTTCGTCCATTTCACACACTGTTACCAAACCAGTCATCCTAGAATTTAGCTTCAAACCTATCACAGTAGCCCCTACCCACCAACTTAATTGAGGTATAATTGACAAATAAAATTGTGTATATTTAAAGTACACAAGATTCAACACATACATTGTGAAATGATTATCACAATCAATTAACCCACCTATCATGTCACATAGTTACCACTTATTATGTCACACAAGTGGTAGAATATTTAAGATCAACTCTCTTAGTAAATTTCAAGTATACAGCACAGTATTATTATAAGTACCATACTATACATTAGATTCCCCAGAACTTTTCATTTCATAACTGAGTTTGTACCCTTTGGCCAACATACCCCTTATTCTCCAACCCCTAGCCCCTGGCAACCATATTTCTACTCTCTGTTTCTATAAGTTTGACTTTTAAAAGATTTCACACATAAATGAGATCATACAGTATTTGTCTTTCTCTGTTTGTGCTGTTTCACTAAGTATATGTCCTTTAGGTTCATTCATGTCTCAAACGGTAGGATTTTCTTTTTTATGGCAAATAATATTCCATTACATTTCACATATTCCATTATATATATCTATATCTGTATATACAGATATAGATATAGATCTATATGTACATATATAGATATAGATATTCCATATATTTCATTATGTAGATAGCCAGTTTTTCCACCACCATTCATTGAAGAGACTGTTCTTGATCCATTGTATATTATTCTTGGTTGCCTTGTCAAAGGTTTGTTTACCATATATGCATGGGTTTATTTTGGGGCTCTCTATTCTGCTCCATTGGTTTATGTGTCTGTTTTTATGCCAGTACCATACTGTTTTGAATACTATAACTTATTATATAGTTTGAAATCAGGCACTGTGATATCTCCAGCTTTGTTCTTTTTCAACATCACTTTGTCTAGTTGGAGTCTTTTATGGTTCCATATGAATTTGTTTTTGTTTTTCAATTTCTGTAAAAAATGCCATTGGAATTTTGATAGGGGTTGTATTAAATTCGTAGACTACTTTGGGTATTATGGGTATTTTAACAATATTAATTCTGCCAACCCAGGAACACAGTCTTCTTCCATTTCTTTCATTAATGTCTTATTTTTGGTGCACAGGTCTTTCACCTCCTTTGTTAAATGTAATCCTAAGTATTTTATTGTTTTAGAAGCTATTGTGAATGGGATTATTTTCTTAATTTCTCTTTCAGATAGTTTACTGATTTATGTATGTTGATTTTTTGTATCCAGGAATTTTACTGAATATGTTGACTACTTCTAACAGGTTTTTTAGTGGCATCTTGAGGTTTTCTACATATAAGATCATGTCATCTGCAAACAGATAGTTTTACTTTTCCCTTTCCTATTTGGATATATTTTATTTACTTTTTGCCTGATTGCTCTTGTTCGGTCTGTGTTGAATAGAGGTGGTGAGAGTGGGCATGCTTGTCTTGTTCACTGTGAGGTGTGATGCTAGCTGTGGGCTTGTCAGATATGGCCTTTATAAGGCTGAGCTACATTCCTTCTGTACCTGATTTGTTGAGAGCTTCTTTTTTTTTTATTTTTTTTATTTATTTTTTATTTTTTTTTTTAAATATATTTTATTGATTTTTTACAGAGAGGAAGGGAGAGAGATAGAGAGTCAGAAACATCGATGGGAGAGAAACATCGATCAGCCACCTCCTGCACATCTCCCACTGGGGACGTGCCCGCAACCCAGGTACATGCCCCTGACCGGAATCGAACCTGGGACCTTTCAGTCCGCAGGCCGACGCTCTATCCACTGAGCCAAACCGGTTTCGGCTGTTGAGAGCATTTATCATGAAAAGATGTTAGGTTTTGTCAAGTGCTTTTTATGTATCTATTGAGATAATTATGCTTTTTACCCTATATTCTATTAATGTGATATATTACATTTATTGATTTGTATATGTTGAACCATCCTTGATACAAAGGATAAATCCTACTCATCCTAGTGTATTGTCGAATTAAGGTTGCTATTATTTTATTGAGGATATTTACATCTGTGTTCACCAGGGATACTGGCCTGAATTTTTTTTTTTCTTGTAGTATCTTTGTCCTTAGTATCAACTGGCCTTGTATTATGAATTTAAGAGTGTTCCCTCCACTTCATTTTTTTTTGGAAGAGTTTGAGAATGCTTGCTATTAATTCTTATTAAAATGTTGGTAGAATTCACCAGTGAAACCATCTGGTCCTGGATTTTTCTTTTTTGGGAGACTTTTGGTTACTGATTCAATCTCCTACTTTTTATGGCTTATTCAGATTTCCTATTTCTTGATGATTCAATCTTTTTAAGTTGTATGTTTCTAGGAACTTTTTGTTTGGTTTATTTCTAGAAATTTAGCCATTTCTTTCAGGTTATCCATTTGTTGATGTATGATTGTTCATAATAGTCTCTTATTATCCTTTGTATATCCTTTGTATAACTGCTAGCAGTTATAATGTTTCCTCTTTCATTTTTGAGTCTTTTCTCTTTCCTTAATTTGTATAGCTAAAAGTATGTCATTTTTTGTTATCTTTAAAAAAAAAAAAAGACAAGACCTCTTAGTTTTATTGATCTTACTACCATTTTTCTAGTCTCTATATCATTTATTTCTGCTTTGATTTTATTATTTGCTTCCTTCTGCTAATTTTACAACTGTACCATCATGTTCAAAGGAAATAAAAATCTGGCTCTTGCTTATCCTGGTTGTGATTTGAAAGGATAGACCTTTTTCCTAACGTTCTGGGCTTCTGATCTCTCTTCATTTCAGGAAGTGCTGATCCTGAACTTCTCAATCCATCACATAGAGCAGTCTCTTAGCTTTCATAGATAATCTTGCACAAAACTTAAGAGTGAATTGGAGAGAGAGTGTTCAAGTATAAGAGACCCCTGACTGCATAGCTATAGAGAAATATTTTTAAAACTCAGACATTTATTTTTAGATGATGTCATGTGGATGAAGTAGATCATGCGACTCCCACAAACAAGGCACTTGGGATGGTGGCGGTGTTAGATTTGGCTCTGATGGCGGCCAGGGAGGCTGAGCTCCAGTGCAGACGCTGCCCCTGGTAGGCTGTCCTGAGGCAGAGGTCACCCACCAGCCAGCCACTGCGGGCCAGTGTTCAGCGATTGGTCAGCTCTGTGTCGAAGCTGTTTGCCATTAAAAGTTTCCTGGACTGCACCAAGTGAGAACTTTGGTCACTGAGATAAGAGTAGCCAAGAGTAAATTCCATAGCCCATCATTTCCTTCCTTCCTCCACAGAAAAGCAACGGGAGTGGATCCAAGCATGCAGGAACTGGAGGCATTAATAGACAGAATCCAGAAGCAAGTGAAAGACCATCCCTGCAGAGATAACATTCGAGAGGCATTCCAAGTTTATGACAAGGAGGCGACAGGATTCGTGGACAAAGAGGTGTTCTTTAAAATCTGTAGCACTCTCAGCGTCCCAGTTGATGATTCCTTGACTAAGGAGGTCAGTATGAGTTCTTTTCCCAGGTAATTGCAAGGCTGCGCACCGTTCATTCTCTCTTAAAGACAATTAAATATGTATTTCGTTTTAACTGGGGAAGATCTAGGGTGTTCAAGTCAGGTCTCCTGTTCAGTCCTGATTATGGTTTTCCCTTGATTCATTGACTTTCTGTTCTCATTACGTTTGCAAGGCATCTGTAGGTGGTGTGGGCTAGGCAGCACAGAGAGGCTAATAAGACATGTTGGGGCTGAAGGAGGGCAGCAGAGGTGGTCCTGGAGGGGTGGCCACCCAGGGCAACTCACAGACACTGGTCTGAGCGGGTTGGTGGGCAGCCAGTAACATCCTTCACAGCGATAAGTACGTTAGCCCATCTGGAGGACTAGCATGGAAGAAGGCGTGACTGCTGCCCAGGGACAGCAGTCAGTGGGGGCATCTGTCAGTAGGGGCCCCATGGCGACATGGACATTCTCCTCTTAGAAATGTTCATGAGTTGAGGAGAGCATTTCATGCCTTTTCCCCTTATAGACCCCTTTAGCCAGATCCCTAGAAGTCAGACAAAATTTTTCCCACCTTGCCAGTGACTGTGACTTACTGTCATTGAGACATTCTCATTGATTAAGAAGACTGAGATGCTATAGACCTTAAAGATCTTTTAGCAAAAAGGAATGTTCAGAGGTAAGATTCATTTGGGGAGGGCTTTTGCTTAGGGCTAAAGTGACTAGGTTGGAGACGAGGATATTTTGTAGGCAGGGACATTAGCTAGGAGTGGAGGAGACAGAAAGAAAGGTATTTGTTCCCATGGGCCAAAGCCCATTTAGCTTCCCAAAGCTCAGATTGACAGCATCCCCAGATTTTAAGTCATGTGTATTATGTGTGAGCTGACATGAGAGAGAGGCATTGCAGTCCGTGAGAGCGGGACAGGGAAGGTGGGTGGGGTGGATTTGCACGTGTCTTATGAAAGCAACCACCGCAAGTCAGTCTACTATCACTCACAACTGAGTTTCAGGGGACAGGTTTGGGCAGTGACATAGCTAGATTTTTCTATTAGACTGCCATAACACCAACTCGCTATTTTGAGTCTTACTCTGCACAGACTGGGTGGACAAAGTCTTGTCTTTGAATATAAAAACAATAAAAATTGCTTTTTTTTAATAATTGAAAGTGATAGTGCCCTTAAAAATGCAAATATTGGTTCTGAAATCTTGGCCAGGCCATTTACTCCACCTGAGGTTTGATTTTACTAACTGTGAGAGGAGGTAATAGCCGACCATGCACTGGGTTCACAGGAGCACTTCAGGACCAACTGAGGGTGTACAAACTGCACTGGTTGCAAAGGTGGGATCAGTGTTGATAGAGCCCTGCAGTGACGCAGCAGGCAGCCCTCATGTCTGTCCCGCCTGCTCTCTGTCTCCCCTGCAGTTAATCAGGATGTGCTCTCACGGAGAAGACAAGATCAACTACTACAACTTTGTCCGGGCTTTCTCGAACTGACCAGGCTGAGGAGAGGGCGCACTAGTATTTTGAGGTTGGACCTCACTTTGAAAATATACCTTGTACTCTTTGTAGAGGCTTGAAAGTATATCAAGCCTTTGAAAGTATATTCCTTTCTCTTTTGTTTCTTATATTTCACTACTTCTGAAGTCTAAGTTAGATTGCATCTTGTAAGAAGATTGGTGCCTTATTGAGGGAGGTAGAGATGGGGGTGTTGTGATGGTTAATTTTATGTGTCGAGCTGACTGGGCCTTGGGGAACCTAGATATTTGGTCAAATGTTATTCCTGGGTGTCTGTGAGGGTGTTTCTGGGTGGGATGAACATTTGAGTTGGTGGACTGAGTAAAGCAGGCTGCCCTCCCAGTGTGGGTGGACCTCTTCCAACTCATTAAAGGTCTAAATAGAACAAAAGGCTGACCTTCGCGAGTAAGAGTGAATTCCTCCTGCCTTCTGACTCAAACATTAGAAAGCCTGCTGGCCTTCAGACTGGAACCACACCGTCAGCTCTCACGGTCTTCTTGTTGACTGACTGTAATCACGTGAACCATTCCCTATAATAAAGCTCATTCTTTCTATATAGATCCCATTGTTTCTGTTTCTCTAGAGAACCTTGACTAATACAGGTGTACAATGAGTAAGAGCAGAAGAAAAGATAGAATTGGCTAGGAGAAGCATCATTTGGGGTTTTGAAAATAAGCACACAGCACTGGTATTGCTGCTCGGCCAATGCCTGCTCCCCACCTGCCTGCTTGCCCCAAGATTACAGGGAAATACACCACATGTTTTTGTGAGATGGTGGGTGGCTTACAGATTTAAGGCTAGTAAAATCTGCCTTTGTATGAATATTGGCTTGTGAGTTACCACTGCTCAGGCCCTAGGTCTATACTTTATACCACCAGGGGGCCTTGAAAATACCATCTAATTAAGGGTTCACATGAATGTGTCAAATTCATCTATAGGTTTGGAGGGGATCTGGGACTAGCTGGTAAAAAAGACGTTTCTAAACGTTTCGAGAATTGAGGGTCCCTTGGATGCGTGACTCCTGAATATCCTGCTGGCATGTATGTTCATGAAAAAAGATTAATCTATTGAATACTTTATTTGTACCATGGACTTAGCATTCACGGTCCCTTCATCTTACCACTCCCACTCCCTGCAAAAACAAGCAAGCAAACCAACCAACCCCAAACTGTAGAGCACAGGGGAGCAAACAGCTCAGAATGGTTACCTGCCTTTCCACTCTACTGCCCTGCCTCCCCCTCCTCCCCTTCCGGAAAGCCTTCACCGCTCGACTGCCAGATCTGCGGTCTCAGACCCTGTACCCTTCCTCCACCTGGTTCAGGGACACCAGAAGCTGGAGGTCACCTAGCTTCTCATGGCAGAGCAGGACTGCAACCTGAGTCTGCACCAGAGCTTGCCCTCCACCAGCACCTCTCCTGCGCCTCAGGCAAAGGTTCCCTGTTTAATCCTCATTCCCTGTGGTGTCTGTGGCTAACGGCCACTGTAACTGCACTCCTGTCCTGAGCTCCCTCTGAAGATGGTCTGGAAAACACAGCAGACAGCTGCAGGCAGTAGACCATCTGCCCGACACCAGCAGTTCCACTGCCCACATGATCACGAATACTTGGACGTGTTCACTACCAGCACAAATACTGGGTGGCTTTTACTTAACTCCGTCTTCTCCAGCCAAACGTCATAACGCAGCAGACATCAAGCTCGGTGCACTTTCTCTGTGAAGCTTCCTACCCACAAACCCAGGTCGAGACCACGCCTTTCCACTCCGTACCTTACTGTTATAGACACTAATACAAATGATGCTGTTATTCAATATAATCTTCTTCCTCTTCCAATTCCCCAGTTCATGTGACACAACAAACATATAGCACAAGATATACAAGAAATGGCTAATAAGAGTGAAAACTATTAGAAATTAGACTAAAATGGACACACTCATTTTTTCAAAAGCAAAGGTAAACATCCTGATCAAAAAGGAATATAAGGAATTGTACCAGAGACAATTAGACTGATAATTCTATGCCTTTTTATTCAGTTATTTCAAAAATATTTGCTGATCATTTTTTTCAAAATGTACATTTAAAAAATCCATACAAAACTGTAATTGTTTTCAAACCAGACAGAAACAGTGGAAAAGGGTTTTGAAAAAAGTTCACTGAAAGTAAAAAGCCCCCCCCCCCCAAAAAAAAAAAAAAACACAACAAAAAAACTAGAACCTTTTACATGAGCATAAATACGGCAGGCACAAAATTTCCTTGAGTTCCTTGCTGAAATTTGGTCCATAACATGAACAGGCCAAAGTAGAAAAACAGACACTTTTGTCCACATTTGCATTGTGAGTTGCCCAGGGCACCAGCAGCCTCGGCTTATCCTTCAGATGTTTATTAAACAAGAGGAACTGAAAAATGAGGTTTAGTCTCATCCATAAACACTTGAATCTGTACCCAAGGAAGTGGTGGCACTTCCAAGCACAGGTGGCGCCTGCCAGGTGAACAGGGCTGTCCAGCCGTGGCTGACTCAGAAAATCTCCACGTGAGCAAGAAACTCGAAGCTTCCAGGCAGAGTGATGGCGATACCTCGGTGTCCCAGATCTTATTCTCAGACACTGACTTATTAATGCCCCTTCATGAGGATAGTTTTTTTCCTTTTCAACAGATTATACAAAAATTATATGGACTTCTAAGATGATGCTACAATGTTCTACTAGAGTGCCACAGAAACCCAGCCAGGATAACGAGAATGACAGCAACAAAGGGAAAGTGGCTACCAGTTCTGTAGGGGGCGACGACTGCCCCTCCCGTGGGTCCCATCCCTTCCCAATCTCAGGGCGTTGTAAGGGACAGCAAGGCCTGTGGACTGACCACTGGCTGGGAGGGTTATTGCACAACCCGGGAGAGCAAGGGAAAGGCAGGCAGGCTTGGGGGGTGGTGGGAGAGGGTAGCTGCTAACACCAGGTAACACTGAATTAGGAGCTGGAAGAAGTTCTGCAACAGCCGACCTAGACCCATTGTCCAATGGGGATGTGAGTTAACAACCGTGACTGCAAAGTAAACACCTTTGTCATATACACTTTGGGTTGAATGGGACACAAAAAAGACCAGAAGAGGTTTTAGCAAGGTACCCTTCTTTATAATCTGGGGGGTGGCGGGAGACAGACTGGAATTGCCGGTCTCACCATGTTGGGGCCAAAGACATACATGGGCTTAGTGCCCCTGCCCTCTGGGCTTCCCTTCACAGGTATGAACAGGTGGGAGGCACAGGTGCCTGCAATGGGCCTCCCCTGGCTTCCCAGCCACCCAGGCCCGAAAACCAACTCCAGCGAGAAACAAAAAACAAAACGGAATAGACCCCAGACCCTAACACAATGAGGCGGGGGAGGTTGAGACAAAGGAGGCAAAACTCTCACAATCAGTATCCCTTTTACATGTGAATGCCCCAGGGCCAATTCCTGGGCTGCTCCTGACAAACAGCCCCGGCCCTGGCTCGGGGGAGGGGGGCCAGGACCACGCGGCAAGTAAGGCACTTCTTACAGAAACAGGAATCTGCTGAGGATGGAACTCATGTGCAGCCCAACAGGCTACCTGGAGCCAGTGGGCCAGCGCTTTTCTGAGGCCTCCATAGAAAGGTTGTGGGGCGTGGGGACACAAGGCAGCAAGTAGGCCCTCTTCAGATCTTTGGGGAAGAAACTGGGGTAAAGAGTGAGAAGTTGGTAAAGCCTTCCTCACGGGCCAATACAGGTGGGAGAGGGATTCTATTTAGGCTCCAAGCCATCCCACAATGACCCACGTCTGCAGTTGTGCCAAAGTGCCTCCTGACAGATGGGGCTGTGAGCTGGGAGGGCAGGAGCGGGAAGGACCACACAGCTGTCTGACTCTCAACACCCTCTCCAAGAAACAGCAGAGGTCTGTGCAGAACAGGAGTGGATGTCCGATCACAGCCGAGGTCTTAGGCAGGGAGGGAGTCATACCCTGGCCTCCCTGCCCTCTCACCAGGCCTGGGAAACCACCTGGGCAGGCTGAAGCCTGCGAAAGAAATCCAAACCCCCAGCCAGTCCCCAGCCCCCAGCCCGACACCTCAAATTACAAAGGCCTCTTGGGAGGCGATGCTCTGCCCCTACCTTATTCACCACTTAGCCACAGGTCGAGGGGACTGAGGAGGGTCCCTCAGGAAGGCCCAGCAGCACACGCCCTGGGGCAGCACCCTGGGCTTCAGGGCGCCCAGGTCCGAGGGGCTGCATGTGCAGAGGCTGGAGCACAGATGACTGTTTTGGTTTCTGAAATGTGACTTCAGACAAATGGAAAAGGTTCTTTGGGCAACCACTTCGCTCTGGTGGCCCAGACACTCAGGGTTAGATCAGACTGGAGGGAGCAGCAGCCACCCCCACTCCCGCTCAGCCTGCCTCTGCCCCAGGCCTGCCCCACCTGCAGCAGGGGCACGTGCAGCTTATTAACAGTGCAGCTCCCAGCCTGGGTGGTAAGAACTCTCTCACCACGGAGCTCCAAGGAGGGGGGGCGCAGCCCGATCCTCCATCCCACCAGTGCGGCCTCCCTGCTCTCTCCTGCCTCCAGCTGCCTGGGGGCCGCCTCCACCTCATGGGGCCACTCAGAGAGGTGGAGGGGCCGCGGCTGCTGAGGTAGACTGGCCTGTGCCCTCCTGCTCTGGTGGGTGATGTGGAGCTGGCCTTCCCAACGTGGGGTGTCTGATAGGACCCCCACAGAGGGTGTGGTACGCTGGGAACAGAAGAGAGAGTTTAAGACGGAAAGAAGAGCCAACGGGGCCCGATCAGGACGAGCCAGCCCAGCGAGCTCACAGGATGAGGTGGGACTGAGTTGTTTAGCCCCTGGCAACATGGTTTGGGCCAACTGCCAAAGACCTGGCTCTGCTCTGAAAGAAATGTGCCAGGGACCAGTGGGGTGACAAAGCTCCCCACAATAGCCCTCCTACCCCCTCAAATCGCTAGTGAAGCCCAGCTGGTGAGATGCTAGCCTTCCTTGTCTTGGGTTTTTAGGGCAGAGAAGGTCTGACTCTCATCACTGCACCTTAGGAAACGGAGCCGGAGCTGCCGGGTCACGGGAGTGGTGGACTCACCTCGGAGGCACTGCACACAGCATGGAGCCTGCAGGGCACTTGGGGAACACGCACGCTGAGAACACCTCCACGCAGCGGGAGGCTGCTATGGGCGGGGCGTGCCTGCTCTCAGCACCGCCCCAGCCCAAGCACACGTGCATCTGCTGAAGGCCGACTCCACAGCTCAACGGGGCTCAGCTGCAGGTGCAGACTCGAGCAGGAACGCACGGCCCGGGGCCCTCCTGATGGCGCCCGGCTGCTGGGGCAGGCGCAGGAGGCTGCTGGCTGAACACCAGCCATCAGCAGCCACCAGGCCCTTTTACCAGGTTCTGCTTTGCAGCCCAGAGATGGTCAGAGAAGGACGGGAGAGATGCCTATTTTCAAAAACACTGTCCACTTCCTAACAGTAACCAGAAGCCCCGGGGAGCTGCTCCTTCCCAGCCATCTGACAGAGCTGAGGGCCCACAGGTGTTAGGAAACAGACCCCTCATTCTCTG